AGACGAAACGCGAAAGTATTTGTCATACTTTCACTTTCCGCTGGTCTTCTGTGAGGTCGTGGTACTTACCCGGCCGGGCCTGCCCATTCGTGCAACAGCCGAGGCTGCTGCGTGGCCCTACCACCGTTGTTTGTTATAATATGCAATGTGCTACATATTCAGTGAGAAATAATGGCAGAAAATCTTTCATAAAACGTAGAGACACAAAACCATCGTCACATAACTAATTCACTTTATTATGATTGTCGCCCTAAGCCCAAACCTTTTGCCATAAATCCATTAATCTAATTCTTGTAATATTTTAAGCAGAGGCCATTAAGCTATTTAAATGTTTGCATAATGCGTTATTGTGGTAAGCATGGCTTATATAATTAGCTATAATAGATCCAAATGCGAAAAGAAATCTTCGTATTTAATTAACGTTATTTCCCGTTCTGTCTTTTCTTTGCTGTACTTGTGTAAGGGTCGAAGTAAGAATTCAGTCACATTTCGTGAAGAAGAGAATTTAATTTTCAAGCCAAAGTCTTCTATGATACGCATCAAATCTTCATTATCTATGGTTCGTTTTTTTTTTAATTTATTAATTTTAGAAGTTTGTTATAAATTTTTCGTCATGTTCACAGAGACAGTGAATCTTTAAAGTTTACGCGCGTAATTTTACTCTATGCTGTAACATTAAGTTACGAGGATAGTCGAGACATCTTTGTTTGCCACAGACGTCTTTGTTTGAATTACCTTTAACCGCTATTTCTTATTAGCGTTTCTTGTAACCAAACAAAAACGTCAACTTTATTAATATGTATGTGCAATTTCAGCATCTTTTCAGCATCTTTTAGCGTATTCCAGTGGTGTATAGATATTTGTACTCGGTCAGACATCATACGTTGACAACCTTTTGAAAATTGGGCTCCGGCTATCTCACTCACCAGACGAAACGCGAAAGTATTTGTCATACTTTCACTTTCCGCTGGTCTTCTGTGAGGTCGTGGTACTCGGACGGGCCTGCCCATTCGTGCAACAGCCGATGCTGCTGCGTGGCCCTACCACCGTTGTTTGTTATAATATGCAATGCTACATATTCAGTGAGAAATAATGGCAGAAAATCTTTCATAAAACGTAGAGACACAAAACCATCGTCACATAACTAATTCACTTTATTATGATTGTCGCCCTAAGCCCAAACCTTTTGCCATAAAAATCCATTAATCTAATTCTTGTAATATTTTAAGCAGAGGCCATTAAGCTATTTAAATGTTTGCATAATGCGTTATTGTGGTAAGCATGGCTTATATAATTAGCTATAATAGATCCAAATGCGAAAAGAAATCTTCGTATTTAATTAACGTTATTTCCCGTTCTGTCTTTTCTCGTAAGGGTCGAAGTAAGAATTCAGTCACATTTCAAGCCAAAGTCTTCTATGATACGCATCAAATCTTCATTATCTATGGTTCGTTTTTTTTTTTTATTTATTAATTTTAGAAGTTTGTTATAAATTTTTTCGTCATGTTCACAGAGACAGTGAATCTTTAAAGTTTACGCGCGTAATTTTACTCTATGCTGTAACATTAAGTTACGAGGATAGTCGAGACATCTTTGTTTTGCCACAGACGTCTTTGTTTGAATTACCTTTAACCGCTATTTCTTATTAGCGTTTCTTGTAACCAAACAAAAACGTCAACTTTATTAATATGTATGTGCAATTTCAGCATCTTTTCAGCATCTTTTAGCGTATTCCAGTGGTGTATAGATATTTGTACTCGGTCAGACATCTAGGCGTTACGTTTTAAAGCGACAGCCATTCCAATTGATTGACATCTTTATAAAATATAATCTTTAATAGTGCTAATCTCTGGTTTACAACGAAAGTATACTTAGGTACCTCAAATGACTATGGTAATATACCTACGTTTTCAGTTTTTTTTTTATGTGAAAAGTTGCCAAACGAGCAGACAGTTCACCTGATGGTAAGGGAATACCGCCGCCCATTGACATCTGATACACCCAAGGGTTACAGATACGTTGACAACCTTTTGAAAATTGGGCTCCGGCTATCTCACTCACCAGACGAAACGCGAAAGTATTTGTCATACTTTCACTTTCCGCTGGTCTTCTGTGAGGTCGTGGTACCCGGACGGGCCTGCCCATTCGTGCAACAGCCGATGCTGCTGCGTGGCCCTACCACCGTTGTTTGTTATAATATGCAATGCTACATATTCAGTGAGAAATAATGGCAGAAAATCTTTCATAAAACGTAGAGACACAAAACCATCGTCACATAACTAATTCACTTTATTATGATTGTCGCCCTAAGCCCAAACCTTTTGCCATAAATCCATTAATCTAATTCTTGTAATATTTTAAGCAGAGGCCATTAAGCTATTTAAATGTTTGCATAATGCGTTATTGTGGTAAGCATGGCTTATATAATTAGCTATAATAGATCCAAATGCGAAAAGAAATCTTCGTATTTAATTAACGTTATTTCCCGTTCTGTCTTTTCTTTGCTGTACTTGTGTAAGGGTCGAAGTAAGAATTCAGTCACATTTCAAGCCAAAGTCTTCTATGATACGCATCAAATCTTCATTATCTATGGTTCGTTTTTTTTTTTTAATTTATTAATTTTAGAAGTTTGTTATAAATTTTTCGTCATGTTCACAGAGACAGTGAATCTTTAAAGTTTACGCGCGTAATTTTACTCTATGCTGTAACATTAAGTTACGAGGATAGTCGAGACATCTTTGTTTGCCACAGACGTCTTTGTTTGAATTACCTTTAACCGCTATTTCTTATTAGCGTTTCTTGTAACCAAACAAAAACGTCAACTTTATTAATATGTATGTGCAATTTCAGCATCTTTTCAGCATCTTTTAGCGTATTCCAGTGGTGTATAGATATTTGTACTCGGTCAGACATCTAGGCGTTACGTTTTAAAGCGACAGCCATTCCAATTGATTGACATCTTTATAAAATATAATCTTTAATAGTGCTAATCTCTGGTTTACAACGAAAGTATACTTAGGTACCTCAAATGACTATGGTAAATGACTATGTTTAGTCCTTTAAGTTGCTCAACAAAGCGAAAATACAGGGAATTAGAAAAATGGTAGGATACGAAACAACAAATTTAAATGACATTACCTCTGCTAATCTCGTCAGGTATTAACGGCCTTTTTTTCCTTGGGAAAAATCCTTTATCGACCCCCTGCCACTGAACCGGGGGAGGGGGCGGGGTTATGTGGGAGTCCCGGAGACGGGTACCCACTAAAAGTTCACGTTGCACCTGTCTCTGTCGCATCGGCCGGGGACACGGGAACACGTAGACACAATTATAGACTGCCTTTTTAGGCCTCCTCTTCTAAATGCCAGTACCAGTGCAATTGGCACTGGCATTTAGAAGATATTTAGCAACAGAGACCCCCATATCTCCCGTTCGGGAGGGGTTAGCGGCCTAAAGAAAATACTCGTGCGTCCAATCTAAACACGCTAACGGTTACAACATATAATGACATGCGAATAAATATCGCTTAAACAGTTTAAACGCCCCGTTAACGTTCAAAGTGACGGTTTAAGCGTTATAACATGTTAATTTCTAACCGTTCTCTGCGTTACCGGGTAAAAGGTACGCGTCACAGTCGAGCGACGCGTAGGTGGGAACGAAAAGGCCCGTTTGCGCGAATGTGTCAACTCGGCGGTATTGCTAAAATTATGTAGACATGACACATTTTTTTTAATGTGTACAAATGAGCGGTGGTTAACCTGATGTTAAGTAATAAGCGCCGCCCATGGACATTTGCAACACCCGTAGGGTTGCAAATGCGTTGCCACCTTTAAATAAAGTAGGCCCCGGCTACCTCACTCACCAGACGAATCGCAGAAGTGTAACTCTTCTACTTTACGGCGGTCTTCTGTGAGGTCGTGTTACTTACCCGGACGGACCTGCCCATTCGTGCAACCGAAAACTGTTGCGTGGCCCTACCACAGTTGAATATACACACACACACACACACATATCGGTTTTGTCGTATATTGCGGAAATAACAGATGTTGGCTGGACCTGGCACTAATGCAATGTAGACAAGACTGACGGCTAACCGAGTTAGTAGGCTCAAGTTGTAGAATATATAGTGATTTATGATAAATAATATTTACTGGCGACCTATTTTCTGAAGTGAAATTAGAGATCTCGATTATTGGCGTCAGATTGCTAATTACCAAAGATGTAAAATTAAAAAGTTGTACGCACTACGGCTGTGAAGAGTACTTTATAGATTCCGATAAACATCGCCTATTCACGTAAAGTTATTTATTTCGTAACAAGCTTGTGTCATCCAAATAGACATCGGACGTGTGTTCGATCAGTGGGTTCGACAATTGGACCATTTTAAAATCGTAACTAACGAAACGGGAAAGCCATTAAAATAATCTATAGTTAAAATAATAATATATCACTTTGTATATTAAAACAAAAAATATTGTTTATCGCCTATTTTCTATTATTTCACTGATAATATGCCGATATATTGGAATATATCTTGTTACGAATTCTTTGATTCGTATACTTCGTTCGTTTGAATTGAATAGCATTTGAATGGAAACGATGGCTGCTTATTGTCATTGGTCAAATATGTTAGGAAACACGCAATCATTCGTGATCATCGCGTGCCATCATTAATGTTTTAATTTTATCGGAGGGGAATGAATGCGGCGTTTTGTGAAACGTCACCCGATTGAATTGAGGTCAAAGGTTTTATTTATAACAGTATTCGCACCACCTTTTAAGTAATTGTTAAATATTTATTACATAGTCTGACAACATTTGAATGTTGAATATGAGTCGGCATGACTGTAATTGAACTCAAAAAACGACCTCATAGAAAATTTTCTACTATGGCATTAGCCCAGACAGTCTATACTTCTGGAACAACGGAAGCTACTAGACTAAACCAAAGCACAAGCCGTCGTCCGCAATCCTGACTGGTTATTTTTCCTAATTCCAGGCAATGCGGGGCTGGTGCGCGCGCTGGAGCGGCGGCGGACGCGCCCGCCTCCGTTGGCTGGCAGCGCTGCTCTGCTGGGCCGCCCTCGCCGCGGTGGCACTGCCGCGCCTCCAGGCGCCGCCCACGCCGCGCCCCGCCGCCCCTGCGCCCCCCGCGAGGCTCCTCCTCCAGTCAGAGGCGGCTGCCTCCACCCCAGCGGTCGTCACGCAACCCCTCCCCGCCACAGACACCAGAGTGCTAACAGAGGACGAGCTAAGGGCGGACGCCGAGCGCAGGCTCCCCTCCCTACCGCTGGCTTACTGGCACCGACACAAAGACGACAAGAACAAGTTCTACAAGAAGAAGGACTGCGCCCCCTTCCCGTCGATATACGACCTCGAGTTCCACAACACGTACTGGCAGACGCTGCGCGCTAGCAACGGCGTGTTCCACCTGTACGGCGCATACATGGACGCGAGGAACACGTCGCGTATAGGGCCCGCGGTGCGCGTGCTCGCCGTGCACGACCGCATCAAGCCGACGCTGGCGACGCACTGCCAGCTCTGGTTCGAGGAGCGCGAGGCGCCCGTGGTGGTGCGCAACCTCGAGTACAAGTACGTGTGGAACAGCAAGTGGGGCAACTACCGCGACCACGTGCTGCAGCCGTACCTGCTCGCGTGCGTGCTGCCCGCCGAGGTGCGCCACCTGATACCGGCCTCCGTGTCCATAGTGGAGAACCCCTGCGACCGCGCCACCAACAACCTGCGCGGTGCACTACGACCGCCCCGCGCCCCCCGCGCCCCGGAAGGAGTTCGCCGTCTGCGTGAAGGGCCTCGACTTCCTCCACGAGGACCTCTCCGTCCGCCTCGTCGAGTGGATCGAGATGGTGCGCATACTCGGCGCCGACAAGATATTCTTCTACGAGCTGCAGGTGCACCCGAACATAACGAAGGTGCTCGACTACTACAAGGGCGTGGGGGCGGTGGAGGTGACGCCGATCACGCTGCCCGGCGGCCAGCCGAACCTGCCCGGGCTGCAGCACATGTATCTGAAGAAGAAGACGACGCACAAGCGGCAGATGGAGCTGATACCGTACAACGACTGCCTCTACCGGCACATGTACGAGTACAGGTGGCTCGCGCTGCTGGACATTGACGAGGTGATCGTGCCGCTGGAGGACGAGGACTGGAGCGGGCTGATGAGGCGCATCCTGCCGCTATCGGTGCCGGCAGCCGGGAAGCCGGCACGCTCGTCCTACCACGCTTCGAACCTCTACTTCCTGGACTCGCTGCGGCACGAGCACGGCTGGGAGGAGGGCGTGCCGCGCTACATGCACATGCTGCAGCACGTGTACCGCACGCGCAACTTCACGAAGCCCGGCCAGTACGTGAAGGCGTTCCACGAGACCGACCGGGTGCTCGCGTTGCACAACCACTTCCCGCTCGCGTGCCTCGGCGGCGCGTGCTCTTCATACGCAATGGAGACCCGCCACGCGCGCCTGCAGCACTACCGCGCCGACTGCGTCACCGCCCTAAGCAAATCCTGCGCCGAGCTGAGGGCGCAGCCCGTCCGCGACACAGCGCTGTGGCGCTGGAGGGGGCCGCTACAGGAGCGCGCCGAGAGGGCGCTGAGGGACTTGACCTTCCTCCCCCCGCACCGGTGACCCTCGCCCCCCCCGCGACCGCGAACCTACGCTTAGTTTTTAACTATTCAATGCTAGTATTAAACGTATTTTTATAGTTCACAACTGCAGCCTTTTCATTTTCCCCCGTCGCAGGATGTAGATAATTACAAAAACAGTCATGATTCAAATTATATGTATGTCGATCGGAATTCACTTTGGTTGAAATTAGTTGCTACTTAAAAAAATCGTTAAAGGATGTCGTTTAAGACATTTAAGAACAACATTTTTTATCATTTATTTTTGGACTCAATAATTTTTATCCCGAATAACTATGGAGCTAAAACTTGTACCATGTGTATAAAAATATTTGGTATTTCATTCACACGTCATCTCGCCATTTTGTTTTTTAAAAATGGATAAAAGCAACGTATACGATGGTAGGGCCAAGCAGCAGACTCGGCCGTTGCACGAATGGTTAGGCTCGTCCGGGTAAGTACCACGACCTCACAGAAGACCAGCGTAAAGTGGAAGTATAATAATACTTTCGCCTTTCGTTTGATGAGTGAGGTGGCCGGAGCCCAATTTTCTAAAAGTCGTCAACGCCTTTGCAACTCTGTGTAGCAGATGTCCATTGGTGGCGGTATTCACTTAACATCAGGTGAACCGTCTGCTCGCTTGGCAACTTTTAACACAAAAAAAAGCATAAAAATATCGTAAAGTACGGCACAATTTCAATTAAAAATACAATATGATAACCGCCAACAAAAAAAGAAAGTGTGCAATTAGATTGCCGGTGTAAACGTACGAAATGTTACGCTCCGCTGGTTCAGCTATGTCGAGAAAAGTTCGAAGAGATATATAAAATTTGCACGACATAATATATTTTGGTAATAGAAGCGGGGGAAAACTCACCACTTATACTTCATAAAACCCTTCATTCAAATAAATGTATTAAGCACATGATAATATTTGAGTTATCTTGTAATGAAAGTGTCATTTCTGAGTTAAATACAGTACCTACATTTATAACTTAACTGTCAATTAGACAACTTGCGATGAAAATAAAGTTTAATATTATTTTCCTAAAACTTTACTTGTACGAATACCTTTTTTAATTCTGAACTAAAAATATAGATGGCGCTCAACTGATATAATATAACGGAATAGATTTAAGTACATCTCATTTAAAACTAAAAAAAAGACAAATATATTTTTGTTGCTAAACAAGTAATATATCCTTTCATAAAACTAAATTTTTAGTGTTTGTTTGTGATACTTCGAGACGTGTTTTTGTTTTTATTATTAAGTATATCGTTTATATTATTTAGTATATATATGCAAGTACGTAGTGCATTATCTGTGGTTGTTAGTAAGTAGCGATATGATAGCTTTTTTGTAAAAATTATGTTTTGCTATTACGACATCTAACGTAAATACGAAAAACTAAAATAATAATCGGAATGCAAAGTCTAAAATGAATAATCATAGAGGGCGCATGATGTGAATTCTTTATCTAAGTCGACGAACGCTAATCAAACATGGAAGCCGCACATTTATAGATTCCATAGATAACACATAGTTGAAAGTTTCACTTTGTCAAACAAAAATGCACTTATTTGTTAGGTTAACTAAATGAAAATCCCTAAAACCGCCTCGCGGTACTTTTTATAAGCCCCACGTCGACGGTATACTTTTTCGTTATGTCATTTTGAAGCGACAATAATGCTTCCATGTTTATTTGCGTTCACTGATTATAGTTACGGAAAGGTCTATCGTCCAATAAGATCCGTATTTGCATAAATCAAAAATGAAATGTAAAATCGTCATAGCAAATGTCAAATAAGACATTTATAACAATAAATATTAGTAGGTACAGTTTTAAAAAAATATGTGTATTATTTTTATTCCTTCTCAAGTACCTAATAGCTTGTGCGGGGTCCAATTTTATAACGGCTTTTTGAATAAGTAGCTCAGGGCCCTATGACTATGAAGGGAAATCCCCTCATTGAAGAGAATAGAAAATATGGTGAATTAAAAAAAATCGGCTAAGCCAGTTAAATAAGATTTTTTGCCTTAATAAATAAAATTTAAAAAATTACTAAGAAGCCATTAATGAGGCTGGTCACTAGAAATGTGTACAAGCACAACCAAAAAAATGTCTTTTCTATTAATGATTTGCCATGTATAGTAGAAGAAGGACTCTCTGGACCTTTGAGGTTGCAATGGGTTCATATAGAAAAATTACCATAAAAGTTGATCCAGTTTTTGGCCATACACAAGATCGGGCAGCTAACAAACGAGGTACCAGTTCAATTAGTTTATGACGGTTATGTTAACAGTATTATCTCATACTGAGAGATTTTTAGTAGAAGTAGATTTTTTACTTTGGGGGTTCTGAATCCGGTATAGACAACTTTTGTATTACAAAAGTCACTATGGCATCTCCTAGCGAGTCACTATGGCATCTTTTAAGCAAATAAACTCTCCCGTCTCTAAATATATTCGAGAACATTATGTCAGGATTGATTATAAGAAACTTTATGATTTGAAAAGCACTAACTGAGATAAGTTTATTAGATTACAATATATCGCTTCTAAGCGATAAGTCCGCCAATTGTACCTTTATGTAATTTTTGTTACTTTTTTTCTGGTGTACAATTAGGCATTATTCATTCATAATTCATTAATCTCTTTAATACTCTTGTAAGAAATCAACTCGAGTGGAAAACCATGCACGGTTTTTATTCACAATTAATAGAAACTATCCAATGTTCACACATCATCTAGTAATTTCCTGCTCTATTATAAGTTATAAAGTTCCGTATGAGCAAAATTTGTCCTTCTTTCACATGCAGTCCTTGAAAATGCGACGGTAAATCCATGACATTTTTTCCTATATTATCGTCAACAAAACGATGCGGTGCGAACGTATTATAGAAAAAAATAAAAAAAGCCCATCACTGATATTAGTGGTTCTATACACCAATTTAAAAGTAACGCTGCGAGTATTTGATGATCACAATACGAAATCGGTTGTCATCATTACAAAATTAGTATAAACGCAAGCTTTAAGATAGTTTTAATGTAAATAAGCATGACTCTATATCGCAGATTCAATAATTTTTTAGGAAAAATGTTGGAGAGTTCAACTTGGCTCAGGAGAGATTCTAGCGGTCTGATTTAGATATTAATGAATACAGAAAGTTAATTATATCTAAATATATGGCATAAATTAGATCAGAAACCAAAATAAATAAGAGAAGAAAGCTACTAGTGTATGAACAGAGATTAATAGAATACAGTTACGTATTAAACAGAGACGCATTATTTCAAAATTTCTTAGTAAATCTATTGATAAAGCCTCACTCTACGGCGCAGAAAATATTAAAAGAGCACGATGAACGTTGCATTGGATAAACTAAATGCAATTTGAAGGAGCCAAGTCTCAGAAGTACTATTTGCGTTCATAGGTGATTGATGTAAACCCTTTTATCCTATAACACGTACCTGGTATCATAATCGCAAACTATCATATAACTTTGTTGCAGTAATCAATTACTGCAACAAAGTTATATTCTTTCAGATTGCAATTGCTACGAATTAATATAATGTATAAAATTAATTATTTTTTTTGTACAATTGTTTCCCAAATATGATTGACCTTTCACACAATATTTTTCGTGTAGCAGTCTTCTTGCATTGCATTATTGAAATGATTAGAAGCACTAGTAGACTGTAGAAGTTGCTGATAAGGAAACATTGGCTTTACTGACCTTGTATCGTCTTGTTAACAGCTGATATTAAATGTTATTAATTTACTCATTATCATACGATACTTTTGTTTAAAATAAAGTTCGAATTACTTTGTAAGTGAAAGTCGAATTATTTTGTGGTATTCATGTGGTTGCTTTTGATACTTATTCTGCTGACCTAGGTCACCTTACTACTCACAGGCAGAAGTTGCACACTTTTTATAACATGTGTAAGTTCAACATTTGCGTGTATAGAATTCGTGGCCTTGCTTGAACGCTTATTGAACTCGTTGAAAATAAGGAAAACGATAATTACGTCTTTAAAATACGAAATGAAATAAATTTTTATTTCGAAAAGCCCCTCCGTCATTTGCCTAGGGCTTTTTCGAAAAAAAATCATGTTTAATTTGTAGAAACAAAATTTTGTGATTAATCAAGATTATTGGAAAACATTAATTTTAATTTAAAATGCAAAGATTTTTAAATTAAGACCCACAGTTCAAAGCGCTTAGGGATGTACATTGACCTTTTAAGACGCAAAGATAAAATCTCATATCACGTGACGCGCTACAATTTTCCAACTACAAATAATTTGCAGCTGATAATATTTTCATACTATACCTATCATTACTAATTATTATGTTACCGAAAAAGTCATAGTAAGTATACGTGGAATGTTTCTGGAACTGTCCACAACTGTCAACTGTCCATTGTCATAAAAAAAAAGCCATTATGGAATCCATAAAAGGAATTGTCATGTCGCTCATGTGGTCATCTCCATGACTATGTACGTGAAGGTCATCCGGCAATCGCGTTTAAAAAGTAAATTGTTACTTTTCTTTACTTTTTTCTTTGCTCAGCAATGGGACATATGTAGGCTGTTGCCTATACATGTCCCATTGTTGAGCAAAGGCATCCTCTGTACGGAGGATATTAGGGCATAATCAACCGCGCAGCCTAACTGCGCATGGGCATACTTTTTTTTTTTATTACCTATTTCGAAAATATCCAAGTTTCCTCACAATGTTTTCCTTCGCCGCAGAAGACGTGATAAGTCTGCACTTAAGATTAAGAATTTTATTGGTGCCAGCACCGGGATTTTAGCGGTTGCTCGAGTATATTGAATCAAAAGGGAGCGCCCGGACAATGAGCTATCTCGGCGCTAACAGAATCAAATATTGTTAAAATACCGCAAATAATTCAAACTGACAAAAATACTCGTCGGTATACTCGTTGTCTATGGGTTGTCGTTGGAATGATACATGTGCAATACATTTTGCAAGT